TCTGAAGCTGCCAGTTGTGTGGTGTGAGGGCACACTAGCCCATCTTGATCCCGGCCCACCGTGGCATCTCTGCCTACAGGCTCCTGCTGCTACTTCAGAGCTGCGCCAGCTACCTGGAGAACCTTGGCTCAGGTCAGACAATGCCCCCTGCCCAGGCTGCAGGGCCCTGCATGTCCGTGGGGCTCACAGTACGACGCTTCTGGAATAGCCTGCTAAGGCTGGGCATGCTCTACCAGCAGGTGGCTGGCCAGGTGAATGGGCCCCAGCCCCCAATGGTGATGCCCCTCATACCCTGCCTCAACTTCAGCTTCCTAGTGTGCCACTGTGTGCACTGCATCCTTCATTGACTCCCTACTGCTCACAGGGAGCAGGGTAAACTCTGCAGCCTCCCAGTCAAGGCCCACATGGCATAGCAGTTAAGAATGTAGGCTTTGGTCATATCTGTGCTTCCTGGCTCTGCCATTTACGCCATGGGACTTCAGGAAAATCCTACCTATTCAGACTCTAAGTTTGTTCATCTGTACAGTAGGGCTAAGATGAGGCCCCATGTGGTATGGGTTGTCCCATAGCCCTCCAAACCATCCGGTAGGGAAGGACATCTGTCACCATGAGGAGGAAGAAATTAAATGAATGGTGATAGTGACATGACAGCAAGCAAGGGCCCAGTAATTGGCTGCTGTTCGTGTCACTGTTACCCTCCCAATACCACGTATATCATCACATCAAATTTGGGGTGAGGGTGGGGGCAGAAGAAAGGAAGCCTGGGCTTAGTAAGCTGAGTCACAGGAAAAGTCACATTTTCTCTTATTCCTGTTTTGTCAGATATCATTTGAGAGTCTGAGCATTGGGGCAAGGCTGTTACAGAACATCCCCAGGGAACTGGTCACTTCCCAGGCCCATTTCTCTCTCACCTGCTTTCCCTTTCTTTTTATAACCCCAGAAAAGGGCAAAACAAGGAGAGACTCCCATCTCTAAGCCCACAGCCAAGGGTGAGCCAGCCAGGAGCCCTGAATGTATGACTGCCAAGTTCATCAAGCCTCCCTCCCCAACAGCAGGCTTGACCCATACCTACCAAGGGCCACAGAGAATCCCTGTCAGAGTCTCCTTGAGGTATCCAGCTGGGACATCCAAGAACACCAAAAGCGTCCAGTCCCAGACCATCGAGACAGCGCTGGTACCCTGTGATGCATGTACCAGTGTCCAGGGCAGCCTTTGGGAAGTGGGCAAAGTGGTCATCAGCCTGTGTCAGAGCCAGAACTTGCCCTCATCCTTGGGTCAGTTCCAGCAGCTGGTACAGGACAGCATGGGGCTCAGGCCACTACCAGCTGCCACCATGGGCCACTGGGCAACAGAGCAGAGCAAAGACCTGGCACGCCTCAGTAAGCATGTGAGCACTCTCACTCAGCTTGTTGGGCCCCTTAGGGCCCAACTGGAGGAGGCTGAAGGACAGAAGGATGGACTGAGGAAGCAGGTGGGCAAGCTGGAGCATGCCCTGAAGCAGGAGCAGGGCGAGCGGCAGCGGCGGGCAGAAGAGGCTGAGCAGCACATGGCCCAGCAGGAGTGTGACAGGCAGCATTTACTTGCAGGTCTGTATCCCAAAGGCTGGATATTCAGTGCCCATGGGCTCTGCTAAAGTCTTGCCATGGGCACTTTCTGAGGTAGACCCTGACACAGCTTGCGTGGAAGGAACCTGGCCTGGGGAGTAGGCAAGGAGGAGAAGGTAGCAAAGAAGAGCATGTCCATCCAGCTGGTGACACTGTGAGCAGCTAGAGCTCAGTCCCACTGGGGAACACCAGGAGATAATGGATGGCACATGTGCCTCAGAGTAGTCCCATCAGAAGGGGAGGGAGCTAAGATATTAATCCACTTGCTCTCCTGGAGGTCATTGAGGGTTACTTCTGGGGAACTTGTTCCCCTAGTATTTCCCCCTTAGTGGAGCAGTCTCTCTGGCTTTGACCAAAGAGATACAGCTCCCAGCAGGAGCTTCTCAGTATCCTCTGATGGTTTGAAGCCTGAGGAACTGGGGCAAGTCCAAGCCTCATCATTACCTCCATGGAAGGCACCAAGGCCCAGAGAGGTATAGGCACACAGCAGCCAGCCAGTGAGAAGCAGGTTGGGGGCTCAAGCATCTCCCCAGGGCTTCTTTGGCAACCTCTGGTGGCCTCTTCCACACTGCATGGCTGCCTCTGCTCTGCAGCATGCATTGTGTATGTGGGCTGCTGGCTAGTCCCAAAAGACCCTTTGAAGGACCTCTCTCTCTGCTGCTCTAGAAACATGTGACCTAAAAACAAAGGTGGCCACCCTAGAAGAGGAGCTGAAGCAGCGACAGGAGTCCATGCAGGCAATGGGTAAGGAACCCCATTGCATGTTACCATGCCATATCTCAATCCAGTAGTGACTGTACAAGCATCCTCCATCTCTGTTCCCTGAGCTTCTGGGGCAAAGAGAAAGGGAGGGTGTACCTGACCATCCACACTGTTGGGTGATGACCTGAGTTGGGGTACTACCTCCTACCCAGAAAGTGTCTCTGTTTTCTAGACCCACCTCATTGGGGTCCAGAGCTGCATGTTGTGGCTGAGAACACAAGCCCAGAGACATAATGTGACCTCCCCTTCGGTCAGAGGTAGTCCAGGGTCTCCCTCCCAAAGGCTCCAGTGCCCTACCCCTCCCCCCCAACACATGCTTGTTCTCTGGATCCTGCAGAAGCAAAGACCCAGCAGCTGCAGGAGGAAAGTGAGCGCAGGGCAGTGGCTGAAAGGCAGGTGCAGCAGCTGGAGGAGCAGGTACAGCTGCTGGCAGGGCGGCTGGACAGTGCTGGCCAGCAGATCCGCTGGGCCAGCACAGAGCTGGACAAGGAGAAGGCCCGTGTCGACAGCATGGTTCGCCATCAGGAGGTAAGGCCCTCAACCAGGCACTGGGCTTCAGGCTTTGCAGTCCTTTTGTTCTTACTCCCTTCCACAATAGTAGGCAGTACATATTCCTGTCATTCCCATTCATGCATGGGGAAACTGAGGCTCAGTGAGATTAAGGAAGCTTCCCAGGCTGTACAGCTAAGAGGCAGAGCCAGACTCAGCACACTAACAGTGGTTCTCACTGCTTTACAGTCAGTGCAAGTCAGGCAATAAGGATTTCAATGACAGGCTGATATGACACTGGAGGAAAAGAAGAGAAGTCTATTTGCCAGAATTCCTCTTCTAGTAGGGACTGTGTATGACTGAAAAAAATGTGTGGGAGGGAAGGCTTCCAGGGTCAGCCAATTGCCTTACAAGGGTGGAGGGTCTGCAAGCTGGGGACTTGAACTGGATCTGGTTGGGTGTACATGTCTGCTGTCTCCCCTCTGCCCACTTTCCCTCTATGTATGTGCACAGACCCCTGTACACAGACTCATGGCACAAGGGAAGGAACTGGGAGGGTTGTAGATACTAGTCCCATGTTGACCTAGACTGGTGGACCTCACAGCCTCCCTGCCCTTCCTTCTCACCTAGTCCCTGCAAGCCAAACAGCGGGCCCTGCTACAGCAGCTGGACATCCTGGACCAGGAGCGTGAGGAGCTACGGGGCAGTCTGGAAGAGGCCGAGGCCCAACGAGCCCAGGTGGAGGAGCAGCTACAGAACCTGCAGAGCCAGAGGGAGCAGGGACAGTGCCAGCTCCAGGCCCAGCAGGTGAAAATGGGCAGGGTGAGACGGGGGGAGCTTCCCTTTCATCAGAGAAACCTCTAACCTGTTAAGTGTCTGTGGGCCTGTCCTATGTCTGGAGGTGGGGCAGTGACCCTAGGGGAGCCATCCTGGGACCAGATCTGAACCTCTCCCTGCCCCAGGAGCTACTGCAGAGCCTGCAGCGGGAGAAGCAGGACATGGAGCAGGTGACAACAGATCTGCGACTGACCATCTCAGAACTGCAACGGGAGTTGGCGGAGCTGAGGGAGCGAGAGCGGCTGCTGGTGGCCTTTCCTGACCTACACAAGCCCATGGAGGCCCAGATCCCAAGTAGGGTCCTAGGAATGCTGCCAAAGACATTGTTGGGCCTGAGTGGGCAACTAAAGACTCACCTTGGCAGGACACTGGGCCTGCAACTCCCCCAGTCCACAATGTACGTGGTAGTGGGGAAGGTGTGACAGCTAGAAGTGCAGCGCTTAGAGTCACCATGACAACACATAACATGCTTCATGTGTTGTCCACCCCTTTGTGTAGAGGAGACATGGAAACCCAGAGGTGAGGTGACTGCCTATGGTTGCTACAGCAGAATCTAGAAATGGATCTAGCTGCCTGTAGTGCATGGTTTTCACACATCACGTGCCAGTCCTTGCTCAGCTTTTCTGTGTCCCCCTTTCTGGTCTCTTCCCAAACCATACTACAGAGCTGGTTCCAATGACACAGTCCCCCCACTCTCCAAAGTCCTAGACCCCATGCTCAGGAGTGCTGTGTACCCACATTGGCACAGGATTAAGTGTCAGGCAAACTGGGGTTCTTTTCTCCTCTCAGCCCCTACAGCCCTCTAAGACTCTGGAAGTGAATCCTGTCACAGAGCTCTCGGGAAGATGCATTGTAATTTAGCTGATCATTATAAGTCATCATTTCTGAGCATTAAGTGCCAGGCCCTTCTGAGGGCAGATAGCTCCTTTTTCCAAACCAGGAAACCAGAAATCAAAGTGGGCAATAACTTTCCCAGGTTTACACAGCTGGAAGCAAGCATGGGAAAGAACATCCAAGCTGAATTCTTGTGACTCATCCAGGGCTGCCTGAATGATTCTTAGGACAAACTCACTGTATTTCTGGCACAACAAAAACAGGTGACCTTGGAAGGGATTCTCTCTTTCCCTTTTGTGGTGCTGGAGATAAGAGATCCACTCTTTCATTTTTTTGCCAAATCATTGTGAATTCGAACAAGGCCCTACCTAGGAGAATGAAATGCAATGGATGGAAAACACAGTGCATTGCCTAGCCCCAAGCCTGTCCTGTTATGTCCTGTCCCATTGGACACAAGAGGCAGACCCAATGTGGTGGGGTCCCAGATATCATGTCTCCACAGACTCTGGCAACGTCACAGATGACATGGAGAGGCAGGTGCAGGCCAATGACATCCGCATCCGGGTCCTGCAGGAGGAGAACGGGCGGCTCCAGTCAATGCTGTCCAAAATCCATGAGGTTGCCCAGCAGGGGGCCCTCAAGGTGGGTCTGAGAGGGTGACCCTTTGGGACTTAGAGGAGGCCTCTACCCATTGATATCTTCAGGTTGCCTGGGAGCCTGCTGAAAGCCATCTTCATTTGGTATTTAAGCAGTGCTTTTGTGAAACTTCACTCAAGGTGTGAGGATGTTAAAGTTCCAGTGTCCTCTATCTCCAAATCCCCTTAGAGACTTTAATACCATCAAATGTCAGAGGAACCTTCCCATATATACTGCCTGCCTGAGGGTTTGCTGCTGAGGAAAGCCCTGGACAGCTTCCTAGGTCATACCACTTAGTGGAAGGGACTATGAGTTCAGGCTTTCCCTCCCTGTCCCTACTAAGACACCCTCTTTGTACAGTGGGTAGGGTACAGAGCTTGGCCTTCTTTACAGATGATTCCACAGGACCAGCTCTGGTCCCCTCCCAGCAAGGGAACCCAAGGAGCAGCATCCCGGGCCCAGGCCCAGAGTACATCCCCAGGGTGAGTGAGTCTTTGTCAAATGTAGGACAGATGGAGTGGTATAGACCCCCTTGCTCACAGGGGATTTTGTGATCTTGTCTTCCCTCAGGCCTCTAGGCAGGTGGCACCCTCCTGGCAGCAGGACAAGCAGTGCAGGCAGGACTCTGCCAGGCCAGTCTCGAGCATCCCCACCTCGGCAGCCCTCCACCTGGCCCAATAAATCCTCCCTGGAGGACATGACCCACTCTGCCATCTGTACCCAGAACCCCATCCGGACCTTGGCCAAGCTGAGGAGGAGACTGTCACCAAGCCGGGGCCAGGCGGGTACTGCAAACCAGCCCCAGGAACCACCCTTGTAGGCTGTGGCAGAGGTGGGGATAGAGGACAAGTAGCTGGCAACTCCCAATGAAATAAAGGCCCAGCCATCTAACCAAGATGATCTTGGCCTCACAGAATGGCTAAACTGGACAAAGAGTCCTTCCTTCCCTGCCCAGACTGGAGGCTGAGGCCACACCATGCAGGTCTTCAGCGAGCAGAGACCTGGCACTGTGGGCCATCAGTAGGCAGGGAGCTTCCCGACTCCCTCTTGATAGACTTGGGGAAAGGAGAGCACATCACAAAGAGAAGCTTCTAGCACCTGGGCCAGGTGAAGAAATCTTACTATTCTCACAGCAAGTACCAAGGGGTAAACCTGGTCTCTGCCTTCTCTTTGTTGCAGAAGTAGTCCAGGCACCTACAAAGAGGAAGATCAGGGTGTGGGGGATGTACAGGGGAAAGACCAGTGAGGGCATCTGAGGCAAGCAATGAGTCAGAGGCTAGGATGCTGGCTCAGGGCTCACTGAGGCAAGCAGAGTGCAGCAGTGCCTTCAGCCTCCCACCGTGGCTCTGATCCTGGGTCTGGGGCATTAAGGACCCAAGAACACTAGGCATTCATTCACGGAGGAACTCCATGCCTTTAAGAATTGGTTATGAAGGATTTCTCTAAGTCCTGGAAGTCAGAGCCTCAGGAGAGCCACCAAAGGCAGGGCCAGGACTTTGGATACTTAGCCCCTCAAGTCAGCAGCAATGTCCCCTGTATTGAATCCCCTTCAGGTATCAAGTGTCTGACTTCCTTTTTTCTTCTACCAGCCAGAGCAAACTCTGCTTTTAACAGGCCCAAGTCAAGGTCAGACTCACTTGAGTGCTTTCCCTACCTTAAAGTCAACTGTGCATATAACATAAGCTAATCATAGGGGTAAAATCCCTTAAGAGTCGCCATTCCAGAGACAATACAAGGCATGTTCATGACAAGGTAGGAATGGGGGGAACCTTAGGAGCCATGTGAGAATTCCACCTAGCAACATTCACACAAATTTTACATATTAAAATATATCCACATTTATTTTACTATTAAAACTTCCCTACCCCAACTCTTAAAAAATGGATGCCCTTGGAAAATGTTCCACTTTTATCCTGTGGCTTCAAGTATCCTGATCAGCAATACACAGCCCAACCAAGAACAGGACTGGATGGTTTCTGAGGCCTCTGGTCCTAGCCAGGCACAGGAAGGGAGCCCAGCTGAACAAGCAGCAGGACCTATGGCTCCCAGTGCCCAAGATTGAGGGCAGCAAGCAGTAGAGTCGTCTCTGGGTTTAACATCACAGCCTTGACCAAGACATATTCTGAAACACAGTTAGGTCAGGGTGTCCAAAGGTCAGAGAACTTTTCCCTTAATCCACCCCCCAATAAATAAGCATAAAACCCAGCCTCTGTAGCCTCAGGGACACTGAGAGCTCCTGGGGCTGGGGACAGCAGCACTGGGCCCCACATTCTCTTTCCCCAGGGTCCTCAGAGCTACCCGTGACAAGGGCAGACACAGATGTCCCAGGATTATAAAGATCCCAGAGTGACCTGTCTCCCTTGTGTGGTGGGTCCTGGCTTGCATCCTTGTCCTGGGGGCTGCAGGACCCTTCTTCCCAGCAAGGTCACAGTGGGACCCATATCCTTCCTTCATCCACAGGACTGGCAGTCCTGTCCACCCCACTGTCCTGTCCCAGAAGTCCAGGCTGTCCTGTCTCAGGGTACAGGTGGGAAGGTTCCATCCCACATCCAGAATCCCCAGCTAGTCATCTGAGTAGTGGTTCCCTACAGGGAAGGAGAAAGAACATGGAGAAAGGCAATAGGTAGGTCAGATAGAAGGGGTCAGCCAAGGGCCCCACCCCCTGATGCTCACCTAGGACATTGAATTTGCACAGCGGACAAGTCTGCTGGAGTATCAGCCAGGGGTCCACACAGTCTCGATGGAACTCATGCTTACAGGGCAGTACCCGGAGCCACTACAAGGGAAGGGGAAAATGGGCTCAAGCTACAGGGACAGGATTCCATAAGGGGGGCCCCAGGCCTATAACCCTCACCCGAACTGGGGAACCAAAACCCCCTGGGGCCTGCCTACCACCCTCTCCATCCCAGTTCTGCTTTTTGTAGCCCTGGTTAGGTGCTGGGAAGAGAAAGTCCTGGTTGGGGTGGTTCCAGGTCTCTCAGGAATATGGTAGAGGAAGCCAAGTTCAGCTGATCCTGCCCAGGACACTCACCTGTTTGTTGCAGAAGTAGTCCAGACACACAGCACAGGTCTCAGTGACCAGCTCTGGGTGGCCCTGCGCTACCCTGCTGAGACGGCAGCGCCGGGTCTTAAGGGATGCCAGTCTCCGCACTATACGCCGCTTGAACAGGTCCACCTGTCAAGAGAGGACAACCACAGTCTTGCAGGCCCAAGGTCTGTGGGCACCAGGGCTCCCTCAGTCTGGCTCCCACCTGACCGCTGGGCTCCTGTTGGCTCTGCCGAGATGCCTGTCGCTGGGCCTGGACCACAAGGCCTGTGCACAGGAGCATGGCCACTAGCAGAATGGCATTCCACAGCTGCTGCAGAGGCTTCTGGGGAGGGAGGTGGGTGTCAAGGGCGCTGGAGCTGCCCCACACTCTTCCCTAGGAATATCCACAGCCAGAGACCAGCCAGGTGACATGCCCTGGAGGCCTTTGTGTCCCCCCAGGTTCCTGGCTTCCTCTTCTGAAGCCTCCATCCCTCCTACCTGGATGATCCTCAGGATCTGCCCCCAGCTATGTTTGCTTCACCCAGTTGCAAGGAAAGCCATATCTGTCCCCAGCATCGTTCTACCCATTCTCATCTTGCACATCCTCCTGGACTGCTTTCTCAGGCACTGCCATCTCCCACTCCCCTCCATCCAGGCTGAACATTCACATGCTCGATCTTGAAGCCAGCCCCAGAGCTTTGCTGCTTTGCTCTCCTAGAGGTCTCATGCACCCCTCCTCCATCCCATGACCTTTTGGTCCTCAACCTTGCCCACCCATTTCCCACCCACAGACAGGGGATCTCACCTGCAAACTTGACCCCATAGCACAGTTTCCTCCTTTACCCACTGCCTCTCTCCTTGTTCCATACTCCTCGCTCCTTCCATGTTTGTGCCCTTCCACACATGTACTGCTCCCCGTCTCAGAAACTATTCTTCCTTACCCTTCCCCTGAAATAGTGTGCCTTTGAACCCCTTTTCTTTTTTGAGGGGGTGGAGGATACCAGAGAATGAACCCAGGAGTGCTTACCCACTGAGCCACATCCCCAGCCCTTTTTTATTTTGAGACAGGGGCCTCACTGAGTTGCTTAGGGCCTCACTAAGTTGCTGAGGCTGGCTTTGAACTTGCAATCCTCCTGCCTCTGCCTCCTGAGCCACTGGGATTATAGGGTACACCACTGCACCTAGCTGGACCCCATTTCTTGCACCACTGGGGTGATATTCCCTTCTGATCTCCACCTGCTCAGCCCTCCTCATGTCACTTTAATCACGTGTTTCCTTGCTGCTGCCCTCGGTGGTCCACAAGCTCCCTGTTGGTGGGAGGAACCACTTCTGACATGGTCACACTATATCATCAGTGCCTCTCCTAGTCATGGAATGAATGTGCTGGGAAACATGACTGAAAGACCACTATAAAACCTGTGGGGCCTCAGAGCTGCTGGGGGAAGAACATTGACCTTAACTTAGCTTCTACCTCTTGGCTACTAGTCTTTGATCACTGAGAAGCTGGCTCAGGAAATGATGTGGCAGAGTAAGACAGACATCATCCTCTTCCATGCAGGCATGCTATTTCACACAGCCTGGATATGTGTTCTTTTAATAAACATTCATTTAAAAGCTGTTGGCATTCCTAACAGCTCTGTGCCTTCATGTTCTTTCCCAACCAATGTTGAAGTTAAACTTCCACCATGGCAGAGGAGAGGGGCTAAGAAGTAATTTGATGGTTAAAGGCCATCACTCTAGACCAGGTTGGGGGCTACTAATGCCATGAGATGTTCTTGCTTGAGACAGGGGCACTCTGGGGAATACTACCAAGAGGTATTTGTGAGCCTGCCTATATCTCCTCTACAGTTGCAGTGGGGTGCTGGCACCTGATCCAGGAAGCTCTCCTAAAGCTCCCTAAGTTGAGCTCAGGTGACCTTGCTATGACCTGGAAGGTCCTATGCTACTACCAGCATGGCATCCCAGCAGAGATATCTGACAGAGCATCTCTGGCATATCTACCTCCAGGACTGGGCCCTACAAGCCCAGAGTTGGACCTGCCTAGTTCTGTGTCCCATACTATGCCGAGACAGAGTGACATGTGGCAGGATTTGCTGAGTGGCCACTACAGAATAGCCCATCAGGCTAGCAAGCTGAAATGTCTGACCAGTTACCCTTGACACCCCAATTACCCTGGCCACCCAACAATTATAATGGGCACAACCCATAAAAGCAGTATGGCCAAAGTTGAAAAATCAACAGTATACTGTCCCTGTTCCCAAATGAGGAACATGAGCCCAGAGATGTTAAATACTAGGTCTGTAATCACTCAGCTAAGGTTTTGGAGCCAAAATTTGAATCCAAGCCTATCTGACTTGAAGCTACTTAGTGTGCACACTAGACAAAGCAGGGGCTCCAGATATGTTTAAGGAGAGGATATACTTTCTTTTTGCAGTTCTGGGACTTGGATCCAGAGTCTTGGGCGTGCTAGGCAAGTACTCTACTACTGAACTACACCCCCAACCCAAGAGAATACCAAACATCAGGAAACTGAGAGGCAAAACTGGCCACCAGGAGAAACACATGCTCCCCAACACCTGCATGTACATTATGGGTTATCCTAAAAGCCTGTAAAAGGTTGGCAAAGCACAGCTGTGGCTGAACAGAGAGTGTAAAGAACTTTCTCAAGCAGGCAGGCAAGATGAGCTGGGAAGGTTCTGCCAGACATATGAAGATGAAGAAAAAGGGTATCAATGCCCAAGGTCAAGCATGGACAAGCCCCAGAGGCAGGAGCTCAGTGACTGGCACAGTGTAGCCATAGTATAAACAGAAGACTCGAAAAACAGATAAGTGATGAGGGCTATGAAATCCAGGCTAAGGAGTCAGAACTTTGTTATGAAGATAATGGAAAGCCAAGGAAGGCTACCAGGTAGGAGGATCATGGCAAGAGCTAAATTAACTACACATGTCCCTGGGCCAGATGTGTCACTGAAAGCCCACAGTACCATGTCACTAAACACATAAGCCCTGTGAGGTAAGAAGGGCTATCCTTGTCATCAAGGCAAGGAGCGGCCACAGGATTTTTAAGACAAGGCATATATGTGGCCCCACCTGACTTACCTGCTCCTGGGCACGACTGCCTCCCAGGCATACCAAGTCCTGCCATCCTCCATAACTATCCTTGGAGAGGCTGCAGGTGGTCCATAGGGTCAGCTTCCACTCGATGTTGGCTGACAGGGATTCTCCACTGGTGATCTCAGCTGTGGCTTGGGTCCTCCTAGGAAGGAAAGTCACATAGGGGGCAGGCAGAAGGGCCCTTGGGAAAAAAGGCCCAGACTCACTCATTCACCCACCCTATTCCTGCATGGATATACCAAAATGTCATTCCTATAGGCTTTCCACTTTGGCTCTCAGGCCTTTCCTGGCTGTTGATTTTTCTAGTTTTCACCTCATACCAAGGAAGAGCACATCAATTAGGTATCCTGTTTCTTCCTTGCTAGGACCAGTTTTCTCTGCCCATAAAGCCACCCCCTCCCTCCAGGCCCCATGTGTCCATCCTATTTCCTCCCCCATTTTTCAGCCAGGGAGAGCACAGTCTTAAGGTGAACAGATTAAGTCCTGTTTCTGAGAACCCTCTGGGAGAGCCAGAACACTCCACACCCAGGCTTCTAGGCCCAGTCCTTTGAGGTCAAACCCCAACTCACTGCAGCAGTGCCTCCAACAGCTTGGTGACATTGGAAGAATAATGGAGGACAATCACAGGTCTGAGCAGAAGTTGGGATATGTCCAGCTGTAGGGAACAGGGAGGTCAGCAGGCCTTGGTTGTTGCTCTTACCCCAACCTGTTCACCCTCAGAGCCTACTCCAGTTTACCTCTCGGACCACGTTGTGGTTCAGGATGAGGAGCAGTAGGGCAGAGGCTCCCAGGAAGAGGGCCCGTTGCATCTGCAAGAGGACAGAGGTGGGAAGCTAGCATATACCCTGCCACACACCTGTCTCAACACCTGTGGCCCCAGCTGCTCTTAGCTCCTTGCTCTGCAGTGAGTGTTCCCTCTGGATAGACTAGCCATAAGCTCCTTGAAGTCAAGGGAGGAAACTCTCATTCCTTCGGCTCTATAGAATTCAAAATCCTAGTCCTCTCCCTGGACTGAGCAAGGCAGTCCCCCCACCCCAACCCAGATTCCCATCACCTGCTTCTAGAGCCTGGTCCAGTTTCCTGTCTCCCTCCACCTCCTTGCTTCAACACCATACTACTTTAATTCTCCAAACAGGGGACCCACGCATGCTCATGGCGTCTCTGAAAGCTCCTTAAAAGCCATGTGGTAGCCTGGCACTAGCAGATGCTGGAGGACCATTTCCTCCAGCCCCCCCCCCCCCCCCCCCCCACATACACCCTCTGCACCTGCTGGACCAGGGCCTTGGGACAGGCCTGCGGCCCACTGCCCTTATTCTCCTGGTGAAATTGAGCTGCCTGCTCCTTGCCCACATATGCCACTGCGATCCAGCCTTCTACCGGCACCTCTTGCTCAGCATCCACGATGTCCATCTGTATAGCAAGGGCCATGAGAAGAGGAAGGCAGGGAAAGGTGGAAAAGAGAGGTGGAAGGGTCGGCTACAGAAAATACAAGGTCAGGGTCTGGGAACGAGATTGCAGAAGTATATAAGTTTTGGGAAGCCTGAATGCTGGGGGACTAGGAAGCCTGGGCTGGGAGCGCTGGCCTGTCAGCTCGGTTTGGTCCAGGGTGAAGGTGAGTTCTGGATGCGGGGTCTATAGCGGGGTATCAGATGGGAGGTTTGGGCGAGGCGCGCTCACCAGCAGCAGGCGGCCCCCCAGCTGGGGCGCCGGCTCGGCTTCGGAGCCGATCCTGACGCCCTCCAGGACCAGAGAGTCCTGCCGCGGCAGCCTCACGTCCACCCGCACTGCGCGGGCTCCGCCCCGCCCCACTCGAGCGGCCGGCTCGCTGCCGTCAGCCGCGGCCCCGGGCCCCGCCAGGCCCAGCCACAGCGGCAGCAGAGGCAGCAGCAGTAGCAGCGGCGACGGGGCTGGCGGAGGTGGCGGAGTCGGAGGCGACTTCAGCGAGGGGCGAACGGTGGGCCCCATGGCTGAACCCGGCGCGCTGACAAGTCTAGGGACCTGGCGTCCCAGGCGCGGCGGGGATAGCTGAGAGAGCTACGCCGCGGCCGGACGGGGCGGGACGTAGGGAGGGGCGGGGCCACGGCCGGACGGGGCGGGGCGCCGAGAGGGGTGGCACGGGTCCTGGAAGCTCCGTGCCCTAATTGGGCCGCGCGCGCCCCCTTGTGACTGAGGAGAGTCCCGGCCCCGGAGGCCGGAAGCTGAAAGGGGGCGGAGCCCGGGTCCTGGTTTCGAGGCGCGAGTGCGAAAGACCAAGCGTTGGCCAGCCAGCAATATTGTCAGACAGTCCAGTCTGGCGCAGGGTAGACCGAGGGAGATAATTGGAAAGGGTAATCCGGAGAGGCAGAATCGCAATCAGGGCCTGAGAAGGACGGCAGCCAGGGACATTTGGGGTTGTGGGTCTTGGCCCTTGCTCTGTGGAGGCTCATAGTGTGGCCAGGATCATGTTAACACCCGCTCTTCCCTAGGTTTATCCCCATCTGATCAAAGGGCAGAAGACAGAAATTGACATGGGTAGCAGATGGAAGGGTCCCCGGCGGACAGGAAGAGGGACTGGAGGGCGCGGGGCTAGCCCAAGCACACAGATCCTTGGTGGGGCAAAGAGGCGGGTCACTTTCGTCACTTACTTCATCTGTGAAATGGGCTTGACAAAAATCAAGACTGCCCTACCCCAACAAATAATCTCTAACGCCTACTGGAAGGCGAAGGTTTCGCTACTGTCCTAAAATTGGTCCGTTTCTCTAAATGTTGAGCTTCAGGAGGCTTTTAAAAATTGAACAGTAAATTAAAAAAAGAAAGAAAGAAAAAGAAAAAAGGCCAGATGAATCTTGACACTACCTCGCCTACTATTTTATTATAATATAAAAAGTGCAAACAGAAAAACAAAAAAATCTTACAGTGAACTCCGATCCAGCCATCAACATCAATGGTCAAAGTATTCCTGAAGAAGAGTGAGATAGACTAAAATAGCCTGATACCAGTGCAAAAACAGACAAGTGGGGCATGAAACAGGCCAGAAACCGACAAAGTGTAAACCTGGTGTGTCAGAGGGAATGTTGCATTTTGGGAAATGAAAGAAGATAGTGTGGTGGACCCTTCCAAAATTTTGCTAAGAAGCTGGGTGTGGTGGTGCATGCCTGTAATCCCAGCAACTGGGTAGGCTGAGGCAGGAGGGTCAAAATTTCAAAGCCAGCCTTAGCAATTTAGCAAGAACTTTTCTCAAAATAAAATACAAAAAGGACTGGGAATGTGGTTCAGTGGTTAAGAGCCCTGGGTTTGATCCCTGGTACAAAAAAAGGAAAGAAAGAAAAAATTTTTGCTAAGCAATCAGTTTAACCACTAGAAAAAGAAGTGAAATTGGACTTCTACTGTATATCATAAACAGAAAATCAATTCCTTCTGGATTAAGAACCTAAACATGAAAAGTAAAACTTCAAACATTTTTTAGAAAGAAATAGGACAATACTTCAAGGTCAGAAGAGATTCCTTATGACATAAAAGCAAAATTGTAAAGGAAAATATTGAAAATGTATCCATTATAAAATGAAAAAAAATCTTCTGTTAATGAAAACAGCAGAATAAAGTGGTAGAAAATGTCCCAAACTGGGAGAAGATATTTACAACCAAATGATTCATATGAAGAATAAGTAAATATATAGATATGGGCACAAGAAACAAATAGGCATTGAACAAAAGAACCAATAAATATGAAAAGATAGCTAAAGATATATTTTGGTATCTTTATGTGTAGAATATTATACAACAGAAAAAATTAATGAACCAGTTATGAGGAGCACCCTAGATAAATTCTTGCAGAATGCTGAGCACAAAAGAGGGTCTCCAAATAATATGTACTAGCTAAGCTCAAAATATCAGATCAATACACAAATATCAGATGTGGTTTTATATACCATAATTCAAAAAAGAAATTCAGACAAAAATTCCAATTACAATAGTATCTGAAATAATAAAATATCTAGGAATGAATAAAAACAAAAAAGGAAATAAAGCTTGTGCACTATAAACTACAAAACCTTGCTGAAATAAATTAAAATAAATAAATGGAAAGATAGTCAAACTAATGAATTGTCACTACAGGTTCAATTTTTTTTTTTTTTTGATGGTGCTGGGGATTGAGCTCAGGCCCTCACACATGCTAGATAAGCACTCTACCAGTGAGCTATATCCCCAGTCCTTTATATTTTTAAGATGGTCTCACTAAGTTTCCCAGGCGGTTCTCAAACTTGTGATCCTCCTGCCCTAATCTTTTTGTTTTTATGTTGTTGTTTTTTTTTGTTTGTTTGTTTTTTTAGTTATTGATGGACATTTTATTTATTTATTTATACATGGTGCTAAGAATCGAACCCAGTGCATCACACATGTCAGGCAAGCACTCTACCACTGAACCACAACCCCAGCCCCCATGCCCCAGTCTTTTGAGTAGCTGGAATTACAAGCAGGTGCCACTATGCCCAACTAATCCCTATCGAAATTGTGTGTGTGTGTGTGTGTGTGTGTGTTGGGGGGTTTACTGGGGACTGAGCTACATCCCCACCCATTTTATTTTTTACTTTGAGACAGGGTCTTGAAAATTGCTCAGGGCCTTGCTAAATTGCTAAGGCTGACCTTGAACTTCCAGTCCTCCTGCCTCAGCCTCCCGAGTTGCTGGATTTAGAAGTGTATGGATCCGCACCCAGATCCTATCAATACTCTAATGTTCTTTTTTGAAAAAATGGGAAAACACATCCCAAAATTCGTATGGAACTGCAAGGGGCCCTGAATAGCAAAATATTTTAAAAGAACACAATTAGAAGACTTAAACCTACTATAAACAGGTTTATTTATTATTTATTCCATGGGTTTATTTCTGAACTCTGAATTCTCTTCCATTTGTTTACAAAACAGTATGGTACTGGCATAAAAACAGACACATAGACAAATGGAAGAGAATTCAGAGTTCAGAAATAAACCCATGGAATTGATTTTTGAAAAGGTGCCAATACCTCAATGAGAGAAAGAACAGTTTCTTCAAGAAATGGGGACTCTGAATATTTAAATGCAAAAGTATGTAGTTGGACCCTTACCTAACACCATGTACAAAAATTAATTCATAATGGATCAACAGTAGGAATGTGAACTGATATAGTAAATGTGGATAACAGTATGTCTATTCCCAAAAAATGAAAAAATAATAAGTGTCGATGAAAATGTTGGGAAATTTAAACCTTGTCCATGGATGGCAGTTTCTCACAAAGTTAAACATAGAATTAACATGACCCACCAATTTCACTTCTAGGTATGTACCCAAAAGAACTGAAATCAGGGACTCAAACAAATACTTATACCCACCTTTTTATAGTAGCATTATACATAATACTCAAAAGGTGGAAACAACCCAATTGTCCATAAACAAGAATGGATAAACAATTCAGTATTCACATACAATGGAATAACACTGAGCCATAAAAAGGAATACAGTACTGATATATGCTGCATCATAGAACCTTGAAAACATTATACTAAGCTGGGCACGATGACATGCACCTGTAATCCCAGTGGCTCAGGAGGCTCAGGCAGGGGGATGGCAAATTCAAAGCCAGCCTCAGCAACTTAAGCAAGGCCCTAAGCAACTTAGCAAGAATTTGCTCAACATAAAAAATGAAATGACTTGCATACACAAGGCCCTGGGTTCAATCCCCAGCACCACACACACAAAATAAATAAATAAAATAAAATGAGCTGGGGATGTGGCTCAGGGGTTAAATACCTCTGGGTTCAATTCCAGGAAGGAAGGAAGGAAGGAAGGAAGGAAGGAAGGGAGGGAGAGGGAGGGAGGGAGGAAGGAAGGAAGGAAGGAAGGAAGGAAGGAAGGAGAAAGAAAGAAGGGAGGGAGGGAAGGAGGGAGGAAGGAAGGAAGGAAAAGAAAGAAAGAAGGAGGGAGGGAGGGAGGGAAAAGAAAACATTATACTAAGAAGCCAGATATAGAAGATCACATATTTTATAATTCTATTTTTATGAAATATCCAGAATAGGCAAATTCATAGAGATAGAAAGTAGACTGATGGTTGGAGAGCTAGGGGGAAATTATGAGTGATTGCTTAACGGAAACAGGGTTTCCCTTCAGCGTGATGAAAATGTTTGGAACTAGATAGAGGTGATGGTTGCACAATAATGTGTTAAATGCCATTAAAATTTTCACTTAAAAATGGTTAATTTTATGTTCTGTGAATTTCACCACAAGAAAAATGATCCAACACATGGAACTGACTATATTATTTAGGCACATATTCAGATGGAACAAAACTATGAAGGAAATCAAGGTGATACACTGGGTGCTGTGGCAAACACTTATAATCCCAGCTACATGGGAGGCTGAGGCAGGAGGATCCCAAGTCAAGGCCAGGTTGGGGAACTTAGTGAGACTCTGTCTCAAAATAAACACATTTTGAAAAGGACTGGGGATGTGGCTTAGTGCCAAAGTGCCTCTGGGTTGAATCCTTAATACTTAGAAATAATAATAAGTTGCAATGTATAGTCTGGAGGCTCTTTGCTGCCCTTAGAGAGTCTTGCTTCTCCCATTCTGTGAACATCCCAGCCCATTTCTCAGACCCAATAACAGTGCTACAAGGGCATTCCTGTCATCAGTCTGGCTGTTGACTCCATGATCTGACTATCATTTTTCCCACTACTTTCTTCTTGCCCTTGCTCCACCCATGCAGGGGTTCTTGATCACCTGTCCCCAGCATAGGCCCCAACCAAACATAGATCATCACTCATAAATTGTTCCTTCCTAGGAAACATTTATATATATACACACACACACACATGTATATACACACACACACATGTATATACACACACACACACACACATAATACCCACATCCTATGCTTTTGTCAGTAGGAGCTGCCACTCCTTACAAACGTGGTAGGTAACCAGAGGTACCCTGTGGACTGTCTTCCCATGAGGTAGTCCTTGGTTATCCTGGAGAACAAGAACTTAAGGATATCTTCTCAATCTGAGTAGGTATAGCCCAGCCCAGCCCAGCCAGGGCCCTGATGCTGTGCAGTGA